ACACACACACACACACATATATATATATATATATATATATATATATATATATATATATTATTAAATTATATCCTGAAAAGGAAAGAATTAGACGAACATATAAGAAATTATATAAAAAACTCAACCACCATACCTTGTGTCAGTCGTTTTGAATGAAACTTGCATAAAAGCAGGATTGCTGCCCAAATGTACAATATATATATATATATATATATATATATATATATATATATATATATATGAGGAAATTGTATGACTTTATTCGCGCTGCACACACACGCACATTCATATATATATATATATATATATATATATATATATATATATATATATATATATATATATATATATATATATATTAAAGGATTTGTGTCACCCTCTGGATTTCGAAAAATCGCCTAAAAACTGAATGTTGCGTGTTTTTAAACTAATTTATCCGCTCTCTTCGTGGTGAGATTTTATTCTATATTTAGTAATAATGAAGTGAAAACATTGCTACATAAAGTTTCTTTAAGATTTTGCGTTTTTTTTTTTACTAATCTACCTTGTTGGTTAATGGTTCTCTTAGGGATTAAAATTTTAGCCAGCCCCTTCTTTAAAAAAAAAACCGAACGTCATGAACAAGTGTGTTAAATACTTTCAGCATCCTAGCTTAGGAGGATTTAATTAACCCCCAAAATATATGAAACGTACTAATTATTAAATCCAGTGTGCCCCCAAACTATTGGCCTATAATTCCCTTGGTGAGGTGGTGAATTATGTATGCCAGATGATGTTAGCAGTATGTTTAGATATCTTCGTAGTCACGCGGGCGTCTCTCAGGGTCGTTTGTTTCTTATCTTCATCATTGACCTTCCTGATGGCAACTCAGTTCTCCAGTCGGTATTTATGCTGATGACACAACTATTTACTCCTGTCTTAACAGTGACTCGGATAAGTTGAATAAAGTAAAACTGGCAGCTGACTTCGAAAATAATCATCAACTAATGTTAACTGGAGCAAGAAATATCTTGTAAATTTTAACGCCTCAAAAATGAAACTATTGTCACTTAGACATCACAGAGAACCATTTTGTCTTCTAGAAACATATGGTTGATGCTAACCTCCAGGAGACTAACTCATTGCGCCTTCTCCGTTTCACGTTTTCCAATGACATGAAATAGAATGATTACGGAGTAATGGATAGCGGCTCGGATTGAGGAATCGGAGAGCCGAATTCGAATTCCAGTCAAATCCATTACATTCACTTATGTGCTAATACCCTTGGAAAAGGTATGACTCCTCTCCTTCTCCACCCAGCTATGGGTAAATAGCAGGACAGACCGGTTTATATAGCCTTAGATGGCAACTAGACTACCGAAGAAACAAATGGCAACCTACTGCGGGAAAGATCTTCCTAGTCAGTCATGTATCGAAAGATACATGATCGTCTAAGCGTGTACCGGGCATAGCACATAATTGACTGATATTGAATCAACTGCTAGGTCTTCTGTTAGGAAATTTCGTTCAGACATATTTTTCTTGCTAGAATGCATCTTACAAGTTTATAAATCTACCATTCGTCCGCGTATTGAATATCGATGTTGGTCTGGTGCTCCTGCTATGTATCGTGAATTTCTTGACAAAATCCAAACAAAGGTTTGTAATGTTATCGGCACTGACCTGGCATCTCGGATTCGATTACTTTCCTAGTAACGTAACTTCCCTGTGTTTTTCTATAAATATTTTATGGCAATTGTTCTAATGACCATTTCACATTGGTATCTAATCTTGTGGAATTTAAGCACAGTACTAGACTCTGGCAACTACTGTTGAAATAACTCGATGTAACTTCTATTCTAATAGTTTCTTCTTTTGTCCCTTGTCGCCTGTAAAACTTTTTTCCGGCTTCTTGATTTCCTGTCAACTATGATATTCAAAAATTTAAATGCAACATCAATCGTCATCTTCTCACTATCATTTTCCAAATGTCTTTCATTTTCAGCAACCCTTTGCGTTTTAGTGGTATTCTCACCTTGTTTAGGGTGAAATGATTTTAAAAAGTGAAGAATACATTTATGAGCAAATGGTTCACTGTCATATAGAAGGATTTATATTAGATAACAGTCCAACACGGGTTTATTTGTTTCTAATGTCATTTCCCTGTTTTATTTTAGCTTTTAGAAGGCATCTTTCGCTATTCTAATGCGCTTTTCGGATTTCTGACATATTTTTAGCCGTCTTTTATAACATGGCCCGGATAGTTAAATTTCTTTATTCACTTGATTATCGCATAGCCCGCATTTTGGGCTGCCCCTCTTGCTAACGACTAATACACATTCGATCTTAGTACAATTATTATTCCTCACTTCCAGTTTTCCTTTATTACGTTGTCCAGGAGTTTCTATAGTTTTCTTTCTGTGTTTGCTTTGAATACAGTGTCATCTGCATATCGTATGTTAAGAATGTGTCCATCGATAATAAATCCTGGTGGGACTTCTAGTTCTCTTAAAATCATCTTGTTCTATAGGTTGAACAAATTCGGTGAGAAAACGCACCTTTATCCCAAGTACCTTTATATTTTTGTGTACTTGCTCAATTCCTTTTTCGAATGCGAATGCAGGTGATTTTCTTTTCATTGAATTTTCCGGATTATACTAATATATTTCCCAATTAAATCGTGTTTTCGAAGCAATTCAGACAGATATTTGTATCATGACTTATCAATTGTTTTTATTTAGTCCATGAAAAAGAGGTATAGGTCTTTTCGTATTTGTATTTATCGCTCTGATAGCACTGAAAATACACAAAGCATTTCTTGTTCCAGTGTCATTGACGAAACCATCCAGTTCTTGTCCTATACTCAGTCTAATTCTGCTATAGGCTCTAGTGAGGATTACTATATTCTATTTCATTTTAATAACTCAGGAAAAGTTTTTTTGCATGCACGTTAACAAAGCACAGGCACCTAGCAAACTAATTTTGCAGAGCATTACTACTGCAGCGAATTAAATAACCGAGGACTCCATAAATGTGACCTTGTGCCAGATTGAGGTAAACTTAATAAATATAAAAAAAATAGCGCGTCATAGAGTAGTTGTTCTGAAACTAATTGAATAATGATTAACAAACAGTTAGAATTTCTGGGACACATAATAAGGAAATAGTGTCTGGATAATTTGACACACACAGGATAAAATGAATGCAAGGGAAGCAGGGAAAATAGCGAGAAACCTACTTAAAAAATTTGAGTTAATGTTTAGCAGAACAAAGACCACAAAGACTAAATCGGTTAATAAAGAGTTACTTAGGGAGAGGACGTTGTGGAGAGCCATGACCGCTCGAAAGGGCGTGGCAGATGAAAGCAAAAGATTTTTTGTTACAAGGACACATGGGCCAGTGGATAAAAGCGTTGTTTGAAGTAATCCAGTGACTTGACCAGGGTTGTGAGTTCAATATCTGGCCACAGCAAAGATGAACAATATTTGGAGAGTTGAGTAACTAAAGGGAAATAACTGAAACCTGAAATATCCAGAAAAGGTATTGGCACATGTAAAACACAAAGAGGGTTGTACTGAGAAGTGAGCCTTGTGGGCGCCTGCGTTGATCGCTTCGGCCTCGGAGAACTGGCATTTAACAACTCTCTAGAGAGCTTGTAGCGTAACCCTTTAAGCTAGGTATTGTCAAAGGCCTTTGAGATATCTAATTTAATCGTCCTTGAGATGGATTTGTTGTCTATTGTCTCACTGATCCTGTGAGTAATGGCAGTTATGATATCAGCAGTGGACCGAGCCGAGCGAAATCCATACTGTTTGTGTCTCAAAGGATTATCCGTATTGTTGATTATAGCTTTAAAAAAACTTGCTAATGACACTGAGGAGGCTGATGGGACTATATTGTGTTTTGTTGTTTACTATCTCAATGATCCTGTGTGTAATGGCAGTTATAATATCAGCAGTGGATCGAGCCGATCGAAATCCATACTGTTTGTGGCTCAAAGGGTTGTCCGTATTGCTGATTATAGCTTTAAAAAGTTTGCTAATGACACTGAGGAGGCTGATATACAGTGATGGAGATGAACGCTCATTCGCAAACTTGAAAAAGGGCATACATTTCACACCTATAGACGTGGGAATAATTTCTTCTTTAAGCAGTGGTTAAATAATTTCTCTAAGCTTGAAGATAAATTCGGATTAATATTCTTAAGGACAACCATTAGGATTTTACCTGGCCTTCTTATGGCCAAGAGTATTGATAAATTACTGAGATCGTGTTCAGTAAGACGGGGAAAATCAGGAAGGGGATGGGCTTTGCCATCTAACGTTGAGTTTGAGGCAAAGATCGTAGCGAAGAACTTCGTCTTATCTGACGAGGATGAGATGAACCCGAAGGCATTTATATTGTATATTTGTAGGCACTGACGTTTTGCTTTTATTCAGAATCTGGTTGGAGACCTTCAGAACAACCGGGTGCCAAGTTCTTTGGCCTGACTGCCCGTGTATAGTTACACTTTACGTTTTTTAGAATTCTCTTTTAAGCAGTTCTGAATGCAGCAAGTGTCCTACTACATCGTTACCTGTAATATACTAGCAATGGTTACAGTGAATCAGGGTTGGCTGTTCGTTTTTTTTCTGGAATTCTTTTTAGGGTATAAAATCATCCATTTCAGAAAAGATCTATTCCGAGATGAGGGCAGCAGTTTTTGGAAGGAGTATGCTTGAAGAACACTGACAGAAAAGCTTCTGCCATGTAAGTGACTAGTGAATGATCTGAAGGGCTTGGGATGTGGACGTAAAACTTCAGCGACGCATTTTTCAGGGTGGGATGGGAAGAAAAGGTCAAGGAGGTTCGCCTGACGTCCTGTTGCATCAGGAACGCGGGTGGGTCCTTCGATCATCTGTGTTAGGTGATGGAGAATTCTTTGCAGTGTGTGCTTTCTTCATCAGTTTTGTTCGAGTAGACTAAATACTCTTTGGGGAATATTGAAGTCACCACAAATATGAAAGCTAGCTGAGGGATAGTCCGCGAGGATATTAATAATAATACTGTTCCTATCTATCTATCTATCTATCTATCTATCTATCTATCTATCTATCTTGTTAGCTTTGTATGCACAGAAATTTGTGCATGTTTGAACTCGTGTCTGTCGAAGTATGTGTAATTTCTAATGTGTATAAAACGTAGAAGATCAAAGGACGCACTCAAATTTCAATTCGAACGTGTATCCTTTTACGATAATGCGTCGTGCTAATGAAAAAGCCAACTATGAAAATCCAAATCTAACACCCAGCAGTTATAATTATCTCCATAAAGGCTATTTTTTACAAGTTCAAGCTACGGCTGGCAACTCCCAGGCTCAACACTAACTTACTGTCCACACCCACCACACGCACACACACACTTGTGAAGTCTCCTAGGAAAGGAATGCAGTATAACTTAATATATTTACCCATAACATCAGAGAAGATGCTGGTGGCATAAAAGAAGCGAGTGTACCCGCCCTGCCAATGACCCCTATTTCTTTTTTTTAAAGACAGCGCCTGAAAACAGTCTAGCAAAATGGCGTCGAACATGTAAGTGTGTACGAAGCAGAGATGTGTCACTGATTTCGATAAAAACAGAACCAATCAACGTTCATCAACACTTGCTGAATGTTTACGGAGATTAAACAGTGGATGAGAGCACGGTTTGCCGGTGTGCCATACATCTCAGCTGTGATAGCGTTAGCGATACGTGTGACAAAACATAATACAGATTTGTCTTCGCAGGTGTTGACCCACCATATGAAGAGCTTTTCGATCAGAGCTTCATTGACGCGGATCAGCGGATTGCAACCAGAAGATTGTGTGCGGAACTATATATCAGCTTCAGTGTAATGGAAATTATCTTAGCAACGTCGGAATATCGGAAAGTTTTTATCAGATGAGTTCCACGGATACTGACACAAGAACAGAAAATCCACTGAATGTAATTCTGTCAGACCTGCTAAACAACAACAAAGCTGAAAGTGACAGATTTTAGGACAGCGTCATCATCACCGGTGACGAAACGTTGTGTTATCACTCCGAATCGGAATCAAGACGGCAATGCATGGAGTGGCGAAAGGCAAATTCCTCATCAAGAAAAAGTTCATGACGCCGCCATCAACGGGACCAAATAATGCACACTGTCTTTTGGCAGAAGGAATAGGGATCCTCCTGAAAATCTTAGGTAAACGGTCAAATCTCACCATCACAGGCTTACGATCATATCACGCTTAAACACTAGTTCTCTTACGTTCACTTACGCGTAAATACCCTTGGGAAAGGTATGAATCTACCTCTTATTCCACCCCTAGCTATGGGTTAATTTGTAAGAATTGTATCTGTAAATCAGTATTATCTGTAAAAAATTCTTACAATCTAAAAAAATATTTTCTGGCTTTAAAGAACCTGAAAAGGGTTGATAAACTGTAAAAAGAAAGAAAGAAAACATTCTGACTTTTATATTGTGACTAAAGGTGAAATTCGCAACTTCGAGAATCAGGTCAGAGAAGAGAACTTTTCGCTTGTAACTCGATAAAACCAGAACCAGGTACCATTCAAAGGTCATAGATTAGATTACGAATCTTTGGTTGAATTGTCTTAACCCCGCCATCTTGTATATTTTTAGATTTGGCATCTTCCGACTTTTCGACTTTCATCTGTCCGTACAGATGAAAAGATGACGGATCAGGTGGACAACATTTCCTGACAGTAATTTCTTAGTACTGCTCACCATATTACCACTGAGTTTCCAAGGGTTCAGTTCGAATTTCTCTGTAGGATCGACAGACATCTGAAGAATGTCGGAGGACACAACAGTCGAAACATTGTGATGACAACAACAAAGATGAGAATATTAGTTCGGCTGTAAATAATCTTGATTTATATTCATGCACCTTCACTAATTTTCGATAACTGAGTTTTAAAATGAAATTTTAAAAATGAAAAAGCATTCATGAAACTTTCTTTTTAGTTTTAATTGAAAACTAAATGATTAAATTTATTATTTTCAGTAAGCAAAATACTCTGGTGTATTTCAAATAGTAATTATATTGATTGGAATCTCAACTTTTTGGTTGGTTGGTTTCAGTAAAATTAAAATTGGCCATTTTTGACACATTTTGGCATATTTCTAAACAAAAGTTAATTCTCGGTTTTAAAAAAACTTCCAAAAATAAAATATACTTTTCTGAAAATTTATTTGAAGAATATTAAGCTGATTTAAAATATAATTAATCTGATATTAAAAAGAATATCTTCTTTAAGTTTAAAATAACAGAGAAATGGATTTTTAAAAACAAACAGTAGCGACGATTACGCGCTTGTCACCGCTCGTAAATCACTTAACAATTACTGATAAAAGTTTCAATACCTTTATTGTTCTACGGAGACTTTATCTGTTATAACATAATTTAAGAAAATGACGGGTTAGCACCTTTTTTATATAATTTTTAAGTACTAAGTAATCTTTAAAATGTTGGAAAATATTCTCTATTTTAGGAATGATGACCTTCAATTTATCATAGTCATCGCTCTTATTTTCTGATAATGTCGTGTATTAAAATACTTTGTATTAAGCTTTTTAATTTTTGATTAGTAAATATAGTTGTCGTTTAATAACAATATCACCTAACCGGATAAAAGTAATGCAGAATTTGAAAAGATTTTTATATTATAAATTATTATAATTAAAATGAAAAAAATGAAAACAATTCTTGTAAAAATTCATTATTCATCGAATTTTTTTAAAGTCAGTAGTGTTCTTAAAAATCTTATTTAAAAAAAGCAAATAATTGTTTTTTTTTAAATAAGATTAAATAAGATTTTTAAAGATTTTGTAATTAAATAATGTCATAGTTTTATTGCATTTTTTATTTTACAATTCAGAGCAGATTTTTGGGAAATGAGTAGTAGTTTGAAAAAGAAAAAGTTGATTTTCATTCTTCAAGAAGTCCTGCTTTTAACTAATAAAAAATTTTCTGATGAAAATTTAATTTCTTGAAATTTCATGAAATTAAGGAAATGGTGGAGGTAACATATGTAAAAAATTATATTTATTAAGATTTTCTAAAAAAGAAAAAAAATTAAACAATTTCATTCGTTTGTGAATAAGTCCTGAAAGTTTATTTAAAAGTTTCTTTATTTGATTTTTGCAAGAATTTGGTTTCACCAGAGAAAAATAGCAAAAACAATAATCGTAAAGATTACGTCAACGGCTGACGCAAAAATTTCGAACGTGCTAGAAAAGATTTAAAAAATTAATAAAATAATAAAAAAATACTTTGGTCTTTCGTCTTAATCATAACATAAACATTTTGACGATACAACTTTGTTTTTATTAACTTTGGGAGTTTTTTTTTTCATCGGGGTATGTTTTTTTCTTCATCGAAAAAGTGGAGGTACCTAATTTATTGATCAAAAAAAAAATCCCTTTTTTATTTATTTTGATTAGCGTTTATTTCACGAGACTAACTTTTTAATTCTATTCTATAACGATTGTAAAATGACGACCCGGATGTTGCAATAAAAAAGCAATATGAATTTAGATTAAACAACTGTAATTATAAATATTTGACTTAAGAAATTCAAATTCTATTACACTTAATATTACGAGTGTAAATAATATCCTTTCATGGTCCCGTTCTTATAAAATGTCATAAATGCAGAAGGTGTAATTATGTGCCCAAAAACACAGAGCTGGCTTTTAGGCAAAAATGGACACATCAATTAGCGCCTCTGTCGAAGTGTTGAGTAATGCGCTCCAGTTTTGTCAACTAAACACAACTGCAGGCTTTATGGAAAAGAGTAATGATCTTTATTTTCTTCTGAATTCTTAAAAGTCAATCGAATCTGTTTGTACGGCTGGTATTTTGAAATTTTTATTGCTTTTATTTTTGAAAACACTATTAAGCACTATTCATTTATTAGATTGATTATTTACAAGAATAATTTTATATTTACATTCTAAAAACTAATACAATTAGAAATATTGCAATGCAATTTTTATCATTTACTAACTTATAAAGAAATAAGTGTGAAAACAATTTTTTATTAATAACTTTATAAACTAGGAATTAGCCGACGTTTAATCAACCATTTCAATAATATAATAATTAAATAGTGTAAATAAAAAAATCTAACAAATAAATAGTTTTTATTATTTTTGCTGACAATCCTCAAGAACAAAGAAAATATATAAATTCAGTTTTATATGTTTATGTTTTATTACAATTCTAATCATCGCTTTTTAAAACATTAAAACGAAGAGTGAAGGTAATTAAAAAAAAGCGGTGTTATGGGAAAAACCGTCCTTTTGACATTCCGTCTTATTGCAAGCACGTTTATCCATGTTTACCCAAAAATTTTATTTATTCTAGAATGATTTCCACCTCATGACATAAAAACTCAGTCAGACTTGCTATTTAAAGTGCGTTCGGGCGGGGGTGGGGGGAGAAGAGATGGATTCCCACCTTTTCTAAGGGTATTTTTGCGAAAGTGAATGCAAAAAATGCGGCCGGAATTTGCTTCTGATGATTTCGCTTTCCGAGTTGGCAAACGTTACACGACCCACCCATATTTAAAATACTTCAAACAATTTTTAAGAGAATAAAAAAAATTCTTCTAAAAAATTGGATTTTGGCTTTAGAATTTCGATATCCATGTGAGGAAAATATGAAAGTCACTCGTACGTTTACATAACTCGTTTGGCTTCTACTTTTCTATACGATTTTCTGTATTACTTTGGCTTTGCCGTAGGTGTGAAGACCTTTCAAGCCAGCTTCTCCTCTCCTCCACCGCCATCCATTTCTTTCATAATGCATACACAAAAACATACTGAAGTGCCGACTGTGAGAGCGACTACTTTCCATTCAAATTCAAACTCAGACTAAAATTACAAAAATTAATAGTTAAGAGTAAATATAATCGCTTAGAAGAGACCAGGAATTAAAAGTGGAAAAATTTAAGTGAAATTCTAGTTATATCGAGGCACGTGATCTTCCCTTGGAAATACAGACAAGAATCAAAGGAGTGGATGTTAGATGAAATTCACGATTTGATGAAAAGAGACAGCAACCAATGCCAATAAATGGCACAGAATATAGGGCATTATATAGAAACATTAGAAAAAAAATGCAAA